TTGGTCTAGGCTATTCTATTAGAGCCAAACTGCTTGCCATCCTAGGCGGGGCTCAAATAGCAAGAGTTAAATCTGGAAAGGCTGATTGTTGAAGGGGATTCTCAATTGGTGATTAGTTAGCGAAAGGAAAAGAAGGTAGCTCGGGTCTTCGATTGGACCTCCGTTCATGGTGCCAGGACTGTTAATGGAATCTCTCACCGGAAGCTGCAGAGCAAAAAGATATCTACGGCTTTTAATATAGAGTGGCGGTGAAGAGAAATAAGAGACGTCAAAACTCAAAAGTGACTAAACTGTGACTAGAAAACAAGAATGATGAATCAAAAGTTGGAGGTTGCACTCCCTCCGACAAGGTAACATGTGAGTTTGTTCCTTATCTTATCACCGTTCATGTGGATGACGTGGAATTAAGTCGTGCTTCACAAAAATAACTAAGCACCATTTACATGATGACGCGGGATCCTGTCCACAAGAGTTCTATTCACGTCTACTCACAATATACTATCCCTGTGAATTGGGAATCTCCCCCTGCTGCGCTGCATAATACTATATAGGAAGATAGATAATCTCCATGTGTGCTTGCGATGTTATGTGGGCAAACGTGAACAGGGTTCTCGTGGGTAAGAGATCCGGATTCTTACATGATACCCCCTCTATCGCTTTAATGCATCTTTAAGTAGGAATTATTTGTGTAATATCCATTTGTGAGTGATTCGTTATTTGTAAGAATTGTTTGTGTAATATCTGTTTGCGAATGATTCGTTATTCAAGTAGGAATTGCTTTAATGCATCTTCATGTAGTATCTTACATGATACCCCCTCTATCGTTTTAATGCATCTTCAAGTAGGAATTGTTTGTGTAATATTCCCTCTATGACTTTTGTTTTGTAAAAAAAATTGTCTCTGACTCATTTTTTGGGTAGAAAACTGTCTATGACACTGTATATAATCTCTGTCTTTTCTGAAAAAAAAAAAATTTGTCGCTCTTCTTTTGACAGAAAATGGCCTATGAGAGTATGACCATGACATGACTCTAACTCTGTGATTGTTGTTCATTCATTGTATTGCATTAATAGCTTATAGCTTGCTTGAATTCTTGAACTTAATGTTGATTGGTCATTGATCATTGCTGAGTACTTGAAAACTTGATTATTTCAGATTTTTGTTGTTATTTGACATATTAATAGGATTCTTGTTAATCATTTAATTTAATTTGAAGTCTGGGAAATTGACTTTTAATTATACCCTTCAATTTTTTCATTTATTTTTGATTTTTCAAAAAACTGTGTGCCTTGGCTCAAAATTAAAGGCACAAGCCTCAAACACTACACTATACAAAAAATCCTTGCCCACCCCAGATTTAGCTACATCATCAGCCACAGAATTAAACTCTCAAGGGATCCACATGAAATTACCAACCATCTGACACAGAATTTTCTAAAAAAAATCAAGTTAACAAGATTTAGTATCTGAGAATTAACATATATCATACACATTATCTTCATTAATGGCCGTTATGACATTTTAGCAACCACAAGATTTTAGAGTGAATATCTCCTTCAGAGGAAAATGGCAAAAAAATAATTGATTTGTATTTGGGAACACCTCATGGATCAGAAGGGAATCATAGATAGGTTTTTACCCAAAGAGAGAAAAGACTAAAGAGTAAATAGAGGTATTATATTCCCCCCATTCAAACATAACAATTACAATGGTGAATAATAAGCATAACTCCACCAAATAGTCATGATCACTCCTTTTTATTCTATGCGGGATGACTGAAATAAAACGTACTTGTCATCTGTCAACTCTGGTTTTAATTGAAACTGTTACTGATGGGGAAAAAAACTAAATTTACGTTTTCAAGATCTTGAATTAGGACACTGCCATATTAATTTCTCATCTTTGTACACCTCAACCACTACAAGCCAATATAATGCTACAGATCATCTGGTTACAAATAGGGTTTAGTCCCATGGAAAATATGCAAAAAAATAAAAATGAAGATATATTGATTATGGTGATTAAAGGAAGTTACCTGCCCTCTACCAACCCTCAAAGCATCTACTCTCGCCTGAATTAGATTTTGTGCTTGATATGTTGTGACAACATTACCACCAATGACGTCCAACAACTCAGGATAAGTCCTCTTTACATATTTGATCATCTCTATCTGGTAAATCGAGTTCCCCTGCGAACTATCTAGCACCAGCCTTAACCAGATGCTCCAACCGTTCCTTATCCTGTTCCCCCGTCCCAATAGTGGCTCCGGCCATGAACTTCCCATCAGCCACCAATGAAGGAAGCCCTAATTTTGGAAATCTATGAATCCTCTCCACATCCGCCACTTATCAATTATAGAAATGGAGGTGATGGGACCTCCGAGAATGGCATCAAAAAACATTTTAATTTGATAGTGATTCCAAGACCTAAGGCACTGGATAAACCAGTCCGAGTAAGACTCGGATACGAGGGGAAAGGGGTTAAGCACCCCTCTCCCACGTCTAATAGGTGGGGCCCACATGGTATCTCCAACAAACAAGCATAAACCACTATGGTAATAAGAAACAAGCCAGTACAAAAGGGAGACTGCTGTATCAATTCTCATTATTTTCCATTTATATATTTTTTTATTGTTTGTTTCACCTTTATTTATTTATTTGTCTTTTATTTTTCTTATAAAACCCTATCTGTAAAATTCTTTTGGAATCACTTTTACTATTATTTTATTTATTTATTTTTCATCTTTTGTGTTTTTTTATATTTCTGATCTATCAAATTAAGCATCCCATACCAGTGATCCAAACTCGCCATTACAGATTTCTAACCTCCTATTTTATTCTTTTTTTATATTTTATATTATCATATATATATTGGTTTATTTTGCTTGTTGTAACCAAAGAGTTACTACTAACAGTCCTCCGACCTCGGCATCATTGATGCCGAATAACTAAAACAACTTGGTACCTTTCATTTTAAGAGGAAAAACCCTACCACCCATTCGATTAAATAAGACAGGTAAGAGATTAACGCATTCCATTCTAAGTTCCTCAATTCTTTTATTCCAACATAGTCAATCGTTAGATGTAAAACAACGGAAAACTCAACAAGTGGTGATCCTCCTTCAGAACATATCAATAACAGAACCTTCCAAATTATTAACAGACAATCCCCTTTCAAAACGGATCACTACGATGGTCAAATTTTTAAAACCGGAGATAAAAAAAACTAATAACACAATGACGAAACGGGATTAACATTGAGGATTCGACAGAGGCTAGTTCGGAGACTATTTCGCCACCAGCTCCAGTAACCTCCTCAGATTCGATTAAACCATCACAACATACAGGAAAATGAAATGAGATAACAGAGAAAAAAAATAAAATAAAAGAACATGAAACACGACGCTAAGAGAGGTTAATTACCTGCTGAAATCAAGTTGAGATTCTAAATCGGTAATCCAATCATTCGAGTAAGTGCAAATAAACTATTTTTTATTTTTTTAGAATTAAAAAAAATGACCAAATCCTCTTGAAACCAATTCCTCAACAGTTAGTTTACTAGCCCGATTTGAAAAGTACTTAAAATAGAGGAGGTTGACGGGAAGGAAAAAGTGTCTTTATCAAAAGTATATAATTAACTTTAACTTCTGTAGCAAGGGTGGTATTGACCACTTGAGTAAACACTTTCTCTTCCATGACAAACAAGAAAAAGACATCGACTTTAAACATTTGTTACATGCTGAAAATAAATTAAAAGACAAAGAAGGGCATGGCACTACTACACCTAATGAAGTAGATGATTGAAGTCAAAGAGATGGAGTAGTTTTTTTCAATTTTCTTTAAATTATTTGTTATTTTTTCAACAATGTAATTTTTTATTTTCAATTTGTAATTTTTTTATATTTTAAATGAAATAAATTTTCTATTTTTTCCAATACGTTGTGCATTTTGTATTTTGGTAAGTCTTTTTTCATTTTTTTTTTATTTTTTCGATTTGTTTCCAAAAGAAAATTAAGTATTTTAGTTTTGCTTAGAAAAAAAATCAAAATGTCAACAAAAAAAACAGTTTGAGCCTTTTTAACCTAACGTAAGCCCACCCTGCAACCTGCTCGGCCCAAACCTGCAACATGGCACAGGTCATATGGGCTCAAGCCATGGATTATGCTAGGTCAACCCCTCAAAATACTTTAGGGGAAGGAGGCACAGCCTGAGATGACCCATGAGCCAACACAGCACGGCCGTGTGGGAATGCCACTCCACCGGGAATGGAAATGGGATTCCCATTCTACCCAATCAAATAATTGGAATCCATTCTGATTCCAATTTTAGATCCTATTCCTACAGACCAAATGGACCTCAAGATATATCAATTTAGGCTATGCTTCGTTCTAAGGAAAGGAAAAGTTAGGGAAACTTGTACAAGCCCTAAGGTGTGGGCTCGCCTTAAAAGGTGTGAACATAATGTATGAGTGTGAGATCCACTTCAAAAAGTTTCCGGTAATCCACGGTGAATGCATGGACTTTTTTATTTCTTTAAAACCATTGCAACATTTTCAAACCACCGTTGACTCAAACAGTCAGACCGTTTGGCCCAAGAACCATCCAGGCAACCGGTTCCATTTTACCCAAACCCAAAATCTGGTAAAAAACTATTGAAAAAACCAACAAACCATTGACCTGGGCGGTTGAACCATCGACCCGTTCAACAGTTTTTGACCAATTTTTTATTTTTTTAATTATTTTTAATTATTTTTACTTTTTCTGTCAGAATGAGCCATCTGTTCGAACCGGATGGTTGGACCATCAACCCAGAAACCAGTGGCCAGAACGATTCCGTTTCCGGGTCGTTTTTTAAAATGTTGAATCATTGAAATCAAAACCATAGCGGGTTAAAGTTTCGTGGGAATGGCACCTAAGATATAGATCACAGAGGCATATTCCAGTATTCCACAACCACAGATTTGGTTTCAAACATTTTCTCATCAGCTCAGTTTCTAAAGGTTCATGTTGCTTTTTGCTTCCAGCTTTTTCCAACCCACAGACGCAATTATCATATACAAGAGATAGACCCATGAACTGATCTTAAGTTGCAAGCATTCAATTCACTAACCATGATGAAAAAAGGAGTAATATTATAGTCCAGTCCATATTCTTTGAATGTACCAGTCAATAAGTTCGCCTATAATTTATGTTCTTTCTCCAGCATAGCACAACAAAAACTTGGGCCTAACAACAAAACCAGAGAACCAATCCAGTAATTAATTGTACTTCAGCTTATATATAACCTCTTAATACAACGAGCAAACAGGCTTCTCCAGTCATCCTAGAACAAAATTACTCTGATTCTGCTATTTTGAACATCTGGATCAAATAAGATAGAAATGAAGAAGATGATTTCCAAAGAATAAGCATACATGACTGGGACCTTTGGATTCTCAGAATGCTTTCTTTACATAGGAGACCAAATCATGCACTCCCCCTTCAACTTGTGCTGCTCCTGTACGAACCTATGAAACAACAAAAAGGTTGTAGCAGCACAATATTAATTCAACACTAACCAAGATCCATGAGGGCCTATTTAAAAGAGGAAAACACAATTAAGACGTTAAAATTTAGGCAAAAGCATAACATGTCAAGCCGTTATAAATAACATGCATTCTCCAAATTAGAAGCCTCGTAAATCATCCTCCAAGCAAAATGTAACATAGGACTTGGTCAAGTGTCAAAAAAATGCTAGGAGGGGGAACTCTCAAAATGAGATTGCAGTTGCACTACTTTTCAGGATTCCAGGGTAATTTTTATGTGAAACAAAGACAAGACGCCACTACAGTTGCATTTAAGCTCCATTTGTTTTGTTTCACATTAGAAGGGTCTTTTTTTTTTTGAACATGAGATATCTTGGTAGTATTTTTCAGCTCCATTACAGCAAAAATCTCCCTTTCTTGTAGATAGAAGATTGCAGCCCAAAAATCGTACCCCTTCAGGTACATGTTCATGTTTCTTGTCAGTTTTTGAGGCACATATTTTCAGAATTACTCCAAAGAAAATAAGAACTTCACAGTAAGCTGTAATCTTAATTAACATTATCATCAGATACCAATACTTAAAATACTCATTATCATTATGGTTAAACATAAATTAGCAACCAGCTAGTCCTCTCAATTATTAACAATCAGTTGGACATATAATATATTGATAATAGAATGAGAGAACCAAAAAATTGTAGACAGAATATAATAAAAAGGTTTACTAATTGGGCTAAAGGAAAAAAAAAGAAACTAAGATTGGTGATATTGTGTGGTAACTAGATAGGATCAAATTTAACGCACAAGGTTCAGGCACAGATGTGAGGCCCCTGTCATAATCTGCCACCAAAAAGATAAAAAAAGAGCTTTGCTCCTCGATATACAAATTTTGCGTATCAAGAATATTTATAGTGCCGATACACTGAACCATTATTCTAAAGAGTAGAATATAGGGTAATGGACCCATTCCTTCCCTCCACCAAGAAAGAAGAATAGTTAGATTATCAGAATGATCAATGGTAGCATGTGACTCAACTCACTTGGATATTATGGCAAATTGGCCTTACTAATCTGGCCAAAACATGTTGGGCGGTTGGACCTGCAACAACCACCCACCATAGTTGTCAAGGCGACTAGGAAATGTCTTGAGATCGCCTCACCCAGACAACCAATGGTTTTTACATTAGGCGCCCGCCCAGATTATTAGGCCTTAGTCGCCTAGGCGACTAGGCGGGCCATTAGTCCAATATTTTTTTGTGAAATATTATTGGGTGTCTTAACATTTATAAGATAGGACCTGTTATATATTAACTTGTTCTATTTGTCAAATGTCTTCTAATACACTAAATGGTTTTGTTTCCTCTTCTTGTTTAGGGCTTTCTCATTCCATCGAACAAAGACTGAACGAGAGGGCAAACAGGAACTCCAGTTACTCCACGAGACTGCTTCAGCTTCAGCTCGAAGTTAGTTTTTTTTCTTTTTTCAGTTCGTCCAGTCCAGAAGACCAGAACAGCATGAATGAACCACACAGTCGAGACCTTTTCTTCTTCTTCTTCTTCTTCTTCTTCTTCTTCTTCTTCAGTAGTTCAGTTCTTCTTTCAGGGGTGGATTTTTTTTCAGTGTTAAGTTACAAAACAGGGGCTCCGCCCCCCATTTTCTTACTCAGTTTTGAGTGAAGAGAGAGGGGCTCCACCTCACTCCTTTTTTTCATTTTATGCTTATGGGTTCACAACCGTGTGAAATCAATTTGTTTTATATCATTTTTTTGTTCATTGTTGTGTGAAAAAACAGTGGTTGTTCCATTAGGAAATAGGTGTGAAATCAATTTATTTGTCAGTTTTTTTGTTCATTGTTGTGTGAAAAAATAGGGGCTGTTATTAGAACGGAAACAAATTATTTTGTATCAGCTTTTTGTTCATTTTTGTGTGAAAAAACAGGGGCTGTTGGTAGAATGAAATCAATTTATTTTGTATCAGTTTTTTGTTCATTTTTGTGTGAAAAAACAGGGGCTGTTGAGCTGTTCCCTAATTTTTAATTTTGGTGCATCAGTTTTTTGTTCATTTCTTGCATGGATAATGTCTTATGTTTGTGAGTTTGTCCATAATTTTTTTACTTAATTGGCCTTTTAATATCATTAGTGTTAGTGGAAAGTGGATGTAAATCAGAAATAGTGAATGTCAATCAGATTTTGTTCATGACTTCGTGTATGTGTTAGAAAGTGTATGACCTTAGCTTAAATGAGAATGATGTACATAAACATTTATTTGTAAATGAATAAAGTACATTATTGTTTCATGTTAATATTAGTGTGTTTCTGTATATTACTCCTTAAACTGGACACTTAGGAGACTCGTGTTAGTTTAGAATGTTCTCAGTCATTGGATAGACTTGGGGGAGTTTATCCTAACAAATCTAACATTGGTGTGCTGCAAAGGAATTGGAGCAGCTTGTCTCAACTGCTAGGGTTAGACCCCAAGCACAGCCAGTGGGTGCTTATTAGAAGCATTGAACCCGCACCAATTTCCAATTATACCCTAGATCTTGGAGATAAAAGGGAAAAACTGGAAAATTGCATACAACCCCAAACTTGATTATGGTACTACACTAAGCGTTGGACTGGGTTGTCTTTGATATGCCAACCAGTGAGATCCATTGAGGGTCAAATACCTAAGTATGTTGGGGCAGTCTAAGAAATCACCTGAGTGGATGATCATAGTGATAGCATCAGCCCCTTTATCGAACAAAGTGAATGTAGTGGATTTCACCTGTGTTTGAGATTTGGTTTTGGAAAATGCATTTATATGTTATATACTACTATTTTATGAAAAATGTTTGCAAAAGGTTTTAATCCTGGGATCCATTTGAGCAGAGAGTGTGGAACTACACCTTGCAACCAGGGGAAAAGTCCTTCCCTGTCGGACAGTGTTTTGATCATTATGGGCCGAGAGGTTTAAGTGTAAAAAACCATTATAGGGCTGATTACTTAATAGGGTGGCTAAATCCAAGGATCATTTAGGTGTAAATGTTAGGCCCAAATTGGATCAATGCTGAGTGGGTCAAGGGTTCATTGCCCTGAGCAGTGAAATTCAGCCTAGCCTCTTTCAGAGGTTGGGCCTAACCCATGTAAGCTTATGTCACTACAAGAGAAATGGGCATTAGCGGCAGTTTTTTAGCTAGCACATGGGCAATTGCCGCTAGAAAGTTCAAGTCTTAAGCCCGTTGCATTAAGCGTGTGAAACTCAGGATTTTCCCCTCCCACTTATATTTTCTCACTTTTTGTATTCCCATCTCTTTCTCTCTCTCTCAACCATTTCTCATTTCTCTTTTCTCCTTCTCTCACAGTTTTCCTACGCAATCTAATGACATCCAACCAGCGCCCTCAGTTTATCATTTTTTATTTTGTCTTTGCTCCCTTTTCTCATTGTCTTCATGCACTGAATAACATCCAATCGACGACGACATCGGCAATGGTATCTATCTCAACATTTTCATCCGTATCTGAGAATATCTTCTCTTCACCGTTGGTGACGTCCTTTGCTTGAAGGCTTAGAGTCGGTAAGAAATGGAACACCTCGTTGGATCTAAAGCTCGAGCTTATTTCCCGACACAACAGACTTCTCATAATCAGACCACAATCTTATTGATTCAACAAAGGCCCTCTCTCTCTAGCAACCGTTGTTCGATTTTCCTTGTTTTGAAATAGCCTCCTCGTCTCAGGTTTTGCTCACATCTCACATCATTGTTTGTTCACCACCGAAGCCTCCATGACCTAAGGATAGTTATCCCACCATCACCATGCAAGCAGCAAAAAACCTTTCCCCCTTCGCGGCTGCTAATCTCTACACAATCAAGGTTACCATCCATGGACAAGATAACTAAAATATATCTACGAGCTAATTCTGGCCAAGTCAGTTCATTAACTGGAAGCATGTCAATCTTAGCTTTTTTTCACCAGGACTGAGCTATCGGTATCTTTCTTTCCTCCCTGCCTTGGTTTTGATTCTCTGGCATCAAAATTTGGATCTATATAAGTGTTACAACTCTGGAATGTAGCTCACCAACTAGCACTTTCAGCAAGGCACTATGAGCCTTTGTCAAAGCAACACCTGTGCATCTGTTGTAAGTTTGGAATGCCAGCCTAGCTTGGGTTGCTTCCTTCATTGATTCAGTTTCCATTTTAATGAATGCATGCGCATTATCCCCAAGAACTGTACAATCATGTTTAGTACTTGGGGATAAGCTATTTCCACTTGTATGTAAGCTGAGATCTCTAGTTTCCTGAGTTTCCTTTTCTATCTTTACAAGAAAATTTGAGTTGTCGAACCATGGATTCATCAGTTCCTCCTCAAGTTCATGGAATGACTTAAACCTTTTTCGACTAGTTACATTTGTGTCTTAATTTCTCTATACATAGGATTTCCCCAAAGTATCACACATTCCCTAACTAGATTTTACAATGAAAATTAGGTATGTCCTGAATTTGCTCCACTTTCTTCTAAACTTTCCCAAACCTCACCTAAAACATCTTGATTTCTCCAAGGCAGTGTCTCTTTAAACAAAATCTCCTTAAATAAAAGGGGGGAAATGAGATCTCTACAAACATTAATACATGGTTGGGAAGGGTGTGGTGATATAAATATGAAAAAAAAAGAAAGTGTCAAGTGTTGTCAACAATCAAAGTGCATTCACTTATAGCGCAATCTTCAATAAGTATCATGATTATATCATGGATACTCATTACCCACTTTGGTAAGTTATTATTTGTATTTTGCAACAACTCTTTCAATCTTATTTTTATTATTGAATTTATCCACATTGTAATGAAATAAATAGCAGTGTTTATGGGTGGTTAGAATTAACAAATTTGAACCTCTGTTAATATATTTATTAGATTAATTATGGGAATTTCAACTTACATTAGTATATATAGTAGATTAAAAAATTATCATTTTCTGTATTTCTTTACTAGTTATGGATTTGAA